CACTGTCGGACAGTCGGAAGGCACACGACCTGGCGACGCTCGGCCCGATTTCACGTTTCGTCGGGCGTCTTTTTTCGTACAGTTTACAGGGGGTAACGAGGGTCGATTATCTGTTCCCGAACCACTGTCGGACAGTCGGAAGGCACACGACCTGTGGAAAAATAGGTTGCTCTCAGCTCAGAACTGTTTGTTCCCGGCACTGTCTGCAGCCTTTTCAGAAATGTTGCACATCAGTGCCACCTAGTGCCCAGTGAACGCACTTGATTCATAAATGACAGAGCAGACATGAAGTAGGTCTTATATACATGTTTTTGGCGTCTCCCCTCTCTGATGACCTCATCAGGCTAATTGACTCCAGTCTGGGCAGCGTGGCCACCAAACTGAACTTCTTCATCCATAACCTGGCCCAGATGAAATTCAGCTCGTCGGAGGAGAGGCCCACGCTCTCTTTCTGTCCCAGGATTCACTCGGTCCGGAGCGACGGCCTCATCAGGAGCCTGTTCATCTGCAGACATGTGAGAGTTGCGGCCAGCAAGAGCTACGTGAGTCCACACACTGACACACACTAACACTAACACACACACCACAGCCACGGCAGAAACAGAACCCGTGTTGTCTGTGTGTAAGGCGTTTGTGGTGAAGGTGGAGCGTGAAGGTCAGCAGGAGGTCCAGCTCATCCAGAGGACGTTTGAAGAGTTCCAGGAACTCCACTGTAAACTGCGACTCATGTTCCCATCGTCCAGACTTCCCAGGTAGATGCGCGCGCACAGACACATACATTTTAATGAATGCTAAACCCATAGACTCAAGCACAAGACTTGACCGCAAGAAGGGCGACGCCATGTTGGAAAATGTAGTGATAGGACAGCAGCCGAGGACAGTCTGAGATTCTTCTGTAACATGTAATAGGACGGCAGCAGAGGACAGTCTGAGATTCTTCTGTGACATGTAATAGGACAGCAGCAGAGGACAGTCTGAGATTCTTCTGTGACATGTAATAGGACAGCAGCAGAGGACAGTCTGAGATTCTTCTGTAACATGTAATAGGACGGCAGC